AGGAGGCGGAGGTTGCGGTGAGCCGAGATCGCGCCATTGCACTCCAGCCTGGGAAACATGAGTGAAATTCCTCTCAAAAAAAAAAAAAAAAAAATTATATGCATTTATTAAAACATATAGAGAATTATAAATAGCCAACTGTAATGTGTCATGTATAGGAATTTAACAATGTAACACTTTTAAGGAGCTTCCCTTAAAATTTGTTTGGATTGAATTTTCAAAAGAAACCTAGTTGACATCTTTCTTATCCTCTGTTTCTAAAGATCACACCATTACTATATGCCTAACATTTTTTTTTTTTTGATCCTGGATGCCATAAATAAATTGAAGACGTAGATTTGTAGTATTCCATTTTTGTAGTTGGAAAGCATTAAAAATACGGTTCAGTATATTTTTATATACTTCAGTAGTATTTTCTCTTTTCCTTTACCATTTTTATTAAATTATTATAACGTATCATGAGTTTCACTTCATTTTTCTTCCCTGTGGTTTAAGTCGCCTCATTATCTATGTATTCTTACAGACTAGTGCCTACCATGATAGTCATGGTCAGGACACTCACTATTAAGTAGTCCTTTACTTGAGAGAAATCTTGAGTTAACTATCAAATAAAAGATGCATAGCAGCTATTAAAATTCTTTATACCAACCAACATCTCCTGTGTATTCTACCAGGTCGCTAGAACAACAGTTAGTGAGATAGGATTATGGAGACAGAATGCCCATTTCCCATCCCATTTCCTTTTCCCCCGCTTCTTTTATGCTTTTCTTTCCTTGTTTTAGGGATCCCTATGGACTCTTAAGTATTGTATCTTTATATACATTGACCATTCCAGAATCTTTCTACCATAACATTCATGGCAGTCAACCAGAACTATCTGTCTATAGGTCACAATATTCTAGTATAAACAAAAGAAGGGAATGAATGCTTTTAGGGCCCCCGGGGTAGTGCCCTTCACGTCTCTGACAAACTGCCTGACAGTGACTCCTCTTCTCTTTGTTCTGTAACAAAGAAGGCAGCCTCAAAGAACACCAGATAAATGGAGTTTTAAAGTTCATAATCTGGTTAATTTAGGGATTTTTATACCCTTTTACCAAGCATCACAACTATCTGATATCTAAATAACTATTGTAGATACATACTCCTGCTGTTAATCTTCCCAATATCTACTTGGAAGGTCAGTTAAAGCACTAAATCTAGTTTTGGGTGTTGTATTCCAAAAGCAAGAATTCAAATAATGGAATGCACATTTTTATTTACTTCGAACACACTCCTTTTAAAGTTTGTAAGTTTGCAGTTACAGAGAACTCAGGATGTGACATACAGAAAGTATAAGCCATTTAGTTACAATAAAAACTTCTTGGGAGTACATTTAATAGATGCATTGAAGATAATTTGAAAGCCAGAAACGTCGTGACTATAGAGCTTTATTCTTAAAATGCAAAGCAGAAACAAATTTCTAAGTAACAATGTCTAAATGTTTCATCCAAAGGTTACTAAAGAGTAATTAAGCACTTTTCAGTGTTAATTAACCATTTCTAGCCTTTTAATTTTTACTTCTTTTTTTTTTTCCTTTAAGCTCTGTTGGACTTGACAACCTTTTTATTTTAACAGTCATATATTAGAAACTAGCAACAAGTTTAAAAGTTACTGCTATAAGTATACATTATGATTTTGCTTTTTTTGCCAATATATTTGAGAGCATAATGATTTTATATGGGTTTCTACAGAGGCATGTGGAATAATTAAGTAAAATTAAATTTGTTGCTTCATTTGCTATAGTTTTATAATAATTATTTAAAATAATATCTAGTATCTGTTTTCAAAACTATAAGCTATAGCATTTATTGCTGTTACAATAATATTTCATACATATAACATAACTGATACTATTTTTCTTGTAGGTGTGATTTCTTACACAGAATATCTTTTTCTTTTATGTATTTTAACAAGTAAGTATACTTATTAAATTTATTTCTGGATGCAGCTTTATTTTTTAAACAGAATCTCACAAAGCAGATCTTTCTTAGATTCTCTTACTCTTGAAAATCACTATCTGTGTTGTTCTGCAAAATTCATGTTTAATGCCATAGAAAAATGCTAAGCATAGCACTGTGAAGAGTCAAAAACATAACTGTTACAACTTATGGTATAGTAATAAATGCTTATAAATTATAAATTTAATACTATATATCAATTCTTCTGGCTTTAATCTACCTGAGACTACAAAGATCATGACATGTAATAATTTGTAAATTTCCTACTATACTCATTTGAATCATATTTTAGAGTCTCTCGAGTCTATGAGAATACTCATTATTCACATCCAAAACTTTTTCTTCTTCTCATGTGCAGCATTTCTTAGGAAATGTATGAAGGGTTTGCTAGGTTTTCAGTTAATTTATTTGCATTTAATGGAGAAAATTTTGTTATAGTTTACTGTGTTCCAGCCACCTGGCCTTTCTGTTCCTTGAATTCCCACCTCAAGGATTTGTACCTTCTGCTTCCTGTGCCATCAGTACTAATCCTCAGGATCCCCAAGATAATAAACATTGTTCAGGTTTCCTTTCAAATGTGAAGACTGAACACATCCTTACTTGGCCAACCTCTCTAAAATAGCTCCCTCTCTCTTTATATCTCTTTACTCTGCTTCATTTTCTTCATATCAGACTATTTGAAAGTATTATTGGTTTACATGCCCTTGTTTGTCTCCTGACACTTGAATGCAAGGTCCATTATGGCAAAGATTTTATCTTATTTGTTCATCTCTGTATTAAGAACAGTATCTTGCACATGTACACTAACCCAAAAAGTAGTTAGTAAATGAATGAAGAAAGGAATATATGAAAGAATACTGTTAGTGGAATTTCCAGTTGTGAGGATTGTGGAGATGCATGGAGACAAGAACATCAATAAAACTGTCATTAGAAACAAATCTAAAAATACCTTGTACTTCTTTGATTAAAAAATTCACACCACTGTGTTATTCTTAACTTTGTAACTTAATGAGGAATGTTGTTAATTAACATTGAGTTCTGTTCAAGTAAGTTTTGAGAAGAAGGAATGTGTACATGTACTCACATACATGTTTCAAAAATTATCTTCCTTTATTTTTTTCTCTTGGACTTGTCACATTGCTCACTGCCTAGACTGAACCAATTTATCAAGACAGGGGATGCAAAAAGAAAGAGTAGTTCACACTGAGCTGGCTGTGCAGGAGACCGGAGTTTTATTATTACTCAGCTGGGTTTCCTGAGCATCCAGGGATCAGAGTTCTTAAGGATAACTTGGTGGGTAGCGGGTGGGTGAGTCGGAAGTGCTGGTTGGTTAGGTCAAAGATAAAATCATAGGGCGTCAATGCTTTTTTCTTTCACTGAGTTAGTTCCTGGGTGGGAGCCACAAGACCAGATGAGCCAGTTTATCATTCCATGTAGTGCCAGCTGATCCATCAAGTGTGGGGTCTACAAAATATCTCAAGCACAGGTCTTAGGTTTTACAATAGTGATGTTATCCCCAGGAGCAATTTATGGAGGGTCAGAATCTTGTAGCTCAAGCTGCATGACTCCTAAACCATAATTTCTAATCTTGTGGGTAATTTGTTAGTCCTAGAAAGGCAGTCTAGTCCCCAGGCAAGAAGGAGGTTTGTTTTGGGAAAGGGCTCTTATCATCTTTGTTTTTAACTATAAGTTCCTCCCAAAGTTAGTTTGGCCTAACTAACTAAACAAGGGCCAACTGAATGAGCAGAGCTTGGAGGTTAAAGCAAGGTGGAGTTAGTCAGATCTCTTTCACTGTCTCCTTTATAATTTTGCAATGGCAGTTTCAGACTTTAAATGAATTAAAATGTTAGTGCTGAAGAGCTAGTATTGTACATTTTGTAACAGGGCTACCTGTCGTTGATCCACTCTGCAAAGGCATAGTAATGAAGCAAGTCCAGTCAATGTTGCTACCCTGAGAATTAGAGTGGGTGCGAAGGAGCATCTCCAAGATGTGTTGAAAAGCTAACTTGTTTGCCAGAACAATGATGGATGCAACATTAATAGTTAAATTATGTACCTAAACCAGCAGTGTGATAGGCAAGAATAAAAATAATGTTGGCTAGGAAAGCCACTTGTTTTGATGCAACAGGGTATAGTTTAGGAGTGTCAGAAAAAAACATATATAGTGGGTTTTGGCACAGAAAGGTTAGGATCTTTGGGTGCTGTGAAACTTTCTTTGGAGTTTAGGTCTCACCAACAGAAGCTTCTAAGAGTGTGATTTGAAAAATTATGGGATATTGTTTAGACTAGAACTAAGAAAAATGTGAAAAGAGGGCTGGCAGGAAGTGAGCTACATAATCTTGGTTACCTGTCTATAAGTGTCTCCTCTTTACTTTGTAGTGTATTTTTCCCTCCAAACAATGCTTGTAAGGAGGACTTCTTTTCTATATGTATTTTTTTAAAATTTAAAACTTGGATATTAGAGAGAGGTGGCATACATTTGTATTTTTTTGTCAAAGAAATAAATGAAAATGAAAGTAAATTTAGATTCCTAAAATACATGCAAGAAGTGAGCTTGCATAAAGGACTGGCTTCTGTTTCTGTTATTTTCAGAGACAACTGTTACCAGTTAAGAAAGTAGGACACTATCAGTGCTTCTCTTGCAGGTTCAAGATTTCACAACAGGTGGTAGCAAATATATCTGTGGGGGGTCCCTTTTTAAACGTTGTGCCCCTCCCCCACAGTCATCTCAAAAGAAAAGATCCAGTGTTTTGAGAAAGGCATGTCCACTGAGCTTCTCTTTGAAGGACACTTTCAAGTTTTCTTGTGCCCAAGTTTTCTCCTTTATGCTTAGAAGTGAAAAGGAGAAAGAGATTGAACCTCATTATTATAAGGTTCATGAAATTGAAGCACTTCATAGTATGTCAAAGTCTGTCTTTTTCAGAAAAGCAATAGTTCCTTGTATTTTGGGGGAATTGGTAATTACATACTCAATCTTCTTTTGTTTTATATTTCTGTTTTTGAAGCCTCTAGAAGTTTAAACTCAAATGTATAATCTCTTATGTTTAGCATTTACTTTCGTAGGTCATTTCAGTTAGAATTTTCCCAAAAATCGGAACTAGTCCATTGCGTCACATTTTTTTTTTCCTGCCACACTAAGTAGCTGAACATATTAAATATATTTAAAATATGATGAGTTGATATTTTCCTTTTAAACCAACAGATTTTGGATAAGAAAGAGAAGTACTGATTTTTAGAAATAAGGAAAGTATTCAAATTTTTCTTTCAGTGCTATGCAACAAGTATCACAGAAGTACTTTTAAAGTATATTATCAATTTGTATTAAGTGTACTAATATGTAAAGCAGAACTATATATCCTTTCATATGCTTTTATTATATTTAACTATATTTAACCAGTAGTAACATGTTACTTTTAATTTCTTGGATAAAGAAACTTTTTCTGTACAGAATGTGAGTAACTTTACAACTAATGTGGAGTTTGTACTTTAAGATACATTTTTCCATTTTATGAATACCTTTTCTGTTTTTTCTGGCAGAGCCACATGCAGGGTTCAGAATAGCTTTCAACATGTTTGACACTGATGGCAATGAGATGGTGGATAAAAAAGAGTTTTTGGTGGTATGTATGTTATATGCTGCATTTTATCAATGGTTAAATATTGCTTACTTAAAGTTTTACATTTTTGCCTTGTTGGCAATACTACTGTAAGGAAAATAGTGAAAAGCTTATGCTTTTGCCTTTATTTAATAAAGTAGGTACTCAGGTACTTGAACAATATTTACATTATACAAATATAAATTACATTCAGTATATGATGATTACTGTTGTTTTTACATTAACTAAAAGTGTGAAATGTATCAGGAGTTTTCTGTTGGGTGGATAACAGGCAGTCCTCAAGTTAAATATGCCCTGTTAATATTCAGTCCCCATCATTTCAGCCACCTAGGCACAACTCCTTCCATAGAAACTTCTCTTCCTTCTCAATTAGGATTCATGATTTTTTTTTTCTTTTCTTTTCCACTTAATCCTGCCTTGTATTTCAGTCTTGTTCCCACTTCCCTGTTCCTTTCTCTTATCTTTGACCAAAGGCTGATAGTTCTTAGGTATTTACCTTTTGACGTTTCTTTGACTGGTCCAGCTCTGGTGCTGGTCTGATAGTGACTTCAGCTGCTCACTCAACTTCCCATACCCTCCTTCCAGAATTTTTCTCTTTCTTTTTACCCATGTGTTTTGCATCTTTTTTTTTTTTTGGTGACAAAATGGTTAGTCTGCTTTTTTCTTTGAAATAGAAAATAATTTATTTCTTAGAGTAACATACATATTACACTCTATCTTTACCTACACTCTCCTAGTAAAAGAAAGGGAAATCAACAGTCATTTTTCTTTTCTTCTTTTTTGTTTTCTTTTTAATTATGGCCCTACCTCCTGAACAGCCATTTTATTTTCTACTTTTCCTTTGTAACATAGCTGTTTAAAATTCCTTAGAAAACCTCTGAAAGAGCCTCATATTTACTTCAGAAGCTGAAACTCAGAAGAAGTCTATGACATCATTCTTTTTCTTAGTAGGAAAGAGAAACGATAAAAATCCTCATCAGAAGCTAATTAGTAGCCATTCAAAGGGAAACAATCAGACTAATTACTGGGATTTATCAGAAGGCTTAAACTCTCACCCATGCAGCCCTTGCCCAGGTATAGTCCCTGAGCCAAGCCACTGGAGCTGGAGCCTTCATTTCAGCGCTTGGCAGAATGATGGGGAGATGGCAGTTTTCAATTTGATGACAATAGTTATATGTGTGTTTCTACCATCTGAAAATGCCCAAGTTTAGTGTCATTTTCTTATGAGAGTGCACGACTGTATTTTAGGAACTTTCAGAATGGGCCTGGGCCTGTTTTTTCTACATAACATTCTATGTCTATACTGCCAAGTTCCATCCCCCTGACTTCAAGTAAAAGATTAACTTTTGGAACTCAGTTCATTAGAAGTTCCCTGTGTGGACGTCTGCATTTTAGAGATGAAGTAAAACTGTAACATTAAGTACATTTAACTTAATTATGGGTTACCAATACCAAAGGATATATTTTCTTAGCAGAAAAAAACTGAAATCAGAAAATGTATCTATAGTTGTTTAAATGTTCTTGGTAGATGAAGCTGTTTTTTGGTTTTGGAATATACGTAGTCCAGAATAGTAGATAGGTGCCCAGAAACTCTTGTTGGATATTTGATTCATGATTGCTTTCTTTGTCAGCTACAAGAGATATTCAGGAAAAAAAATGAAAAGAGAGAAACTAAAGGAGATGAAGAAAAGCGTGCAATGCTGGTAAGAATACTTTATAGTAGCTTTAGGTGGGTTTTTTAGGCAACAATTATTTTATTCATGTTAAGAAACAATAATTAAAGTTTGTAACTTTGAAGCTGTCCCTTTCTTGAAAACTTTCTAAAGTTTTTATGTAGAAAAATTGCTTCAGTATTTATATGCATTGATATCAATATTTACTTCAAATATTGATATTAAACATCTGTATCCATAATCATTCATTAAATCATTTTCATCCATATTGTTATCTGTGAGATTTGAAGGGTATATCGTACAATAGATTAATACAGATCATTATGCATGTAAAAATTTAAAGGTGAATTGCAAAGATTTAATTATAATGTGAGAGAATTTAGTGGTAATATAAAAATATGACTGTTGAAACAAATACAAGGAAATACTTTTTTTTGCATTCTTAGAGGAATATATATATTAGAGATTGTTCTCCTGGGATATATAATATTTTCATCTTTTTCTGAAGTTAAACAGCCATTGCCCTCCATCTTCCTAACTAGTTTTCTTTTTGTCTGAAGTATTTCAGCCTGACCATAGGCCAGGTTCACGTAATAAAAATAACAAACAGCTACTAAGACCTTACCATCAGGCACTATTCTAGGTGCTTTCCATACATTTCTCATTTAATCTACCCAACAGTTCTCTTATTATCCATAATTATAGATGAGAAAACTGCTAATTGTGAAGGTTAAGTGTCTTGTCCAAAGTTACATAGTTATTAAATGGCAAAGCCAAAGATTTGAACCTGTGTCTGGCCAGCTCCAAAACCTCACTTTTATCCACTGTGATATATTTCTTTGGTACTTAGGTAACTAGAAATACAGTGAATTTTGTTGGCATGTAAATGATAATTATTTTATTTGCAAATTAATGGCCCTGTGCAGTTTAATTGTCTTACGTGAAATTCAAATTATTAACTTCAGAGAGCTAAAACTTTATTATTCTCATTGTTATAAGAATATGCATTAGGTTTTTCTTAACATAGATTATCTATAGCAGATGTGTGCCATATTCAATCCCAATAGATTTATGAAGTATACATTTATATTTAGTTGAATAAAAGCAGATTATCAGGATTGTGTAGCACTTACTGCTTTGTAGGATATTTGACTATTCTGTAATTCTCAGTAGTCATTGAACATCCCTCAGTATACTATTGACAAAGGTTATGGAAGACAATCTTAAGAAAATCAAAGAATTGATTGTAATGTTCGTCAAGTATTAAAAGGGGCAATAGTAGTTCTCTACTTAATTCAGGTCTCATGGTTTTCAAATTGTGATCAATAAATCCTACATGAATAGCCCCATAAACGCAACCGTTAGAGTATTAGCAAAGAAGACTAGAGAACTGAATACCTTCCTAAATTTTATTTCCTGTAGGTAATATACTAAATGAGTAAACAGCTAAAAGTTAACTGTGATAGGTTAACTTTGATAGATTAACTATAATTGACTGAATAAGCAAGTTGTTAATAAAATACTATTTAAGGAAGTTGAATAATGTTAATATAGCTATTGATATACTTTAATGATAAAGTAGATAGTATTTCAATGGATATAAATATAATTGTTTTATTTACTTGTTTACTTATACTATTTCCAGAGAGGACTTAAGCATCTTACAGTAAAAATACAGTAGTATTCTAATCATTAACATTTACTAACGTGGCCATCAAGTAATTAAAGGGAGATTTTAAAAAAGGGAAAAATAATAGCAGACAGTGCACACTGGGAAAATGTACAGTGTTAGCACAAAACTTGGCTCTGAGCATCACTGCAGCCAAGGTATAAGAAATTTAATATTTTAATATTAATTTAATGCAAATGTTTTATAACAGTGATATAGTAAGACCTCATTAACTTAGATTAATTAGGGAAAGTTCATCTGAATTATAAAATCTAAATTATACCAGCATACCCTAAATTGTATTATTTTACTTTTATATGGGTTAATGAACCATTCCCTAGCAAATATATGGGGAAGGAGATTTGCTTTAAATAACAGATTAAAATAACTTTTAAGTAATATATAATTTATTTATATATAAATGAATGCTTACTAAAGCCTTTGATATCCACAGATACCTCAGAAGTATTCGTTTTATATAACTTAAATAGTGCTTCTAAAATCTTACTTTTATAATTTAGCTATCAGAACTCTTCCTTAAAACAATTCAGAAATAATATTTAGTACAGAAATACAGCTCTCTACAAATTACTGTGTTTAGCAGTAATGACAGTTAGTGTTAACATTGTTAATTAATCACATTTTAAATAACGCAAATCCAAATCAGGGAAGTTTTATTTTATACTACTTTAGTTACCAAAGATTTTAGTTATCAAAGATTTTATTTATACTACTTTACTTAGAAAAGATTATGTAAAATGTAAGGTGATGTTATCAAGGTGATGGAAATGACAATAAGATTCTGCATATTCTTATAACATTCTGCTGAGTGTTGAAGCAATTAAAATTTAGCTTATTGTAAAAATATATTAATTACATAAGAGAGATAGCATAGAACAGGCTCAGGAGTCAGATTTTTGGGGTTTAAGTATTAGCTCCGCCACACATTACCTGGGTGACCTTGGACAATGTCCTTAACCTCTCTGTTCCTCGATTTTCTTCATTTATACAATGGGGGCATTAGGAGTAATGACCACATGTGATGGGTATGGAGATTAAAGCACATAGCTACTTAACCATGTGAAATATAATAAACACTCAAAAAGGTTAGTTAATAGGAAAACTTAAAGTTATTCTTTAATTAGTAGAATCATGCAGCTACTTTAAACTGAATTTAACATACCCAAATAAAAATTACATCAAAACTAAAGTTAAAAATATATGCCAAAATAAAACTGCACTTCCGAAGGGAAAAGAGAAACGAACATCACATTTCTTGGGACACCTACTATGTGCTAAGCTCCATGCTATGCTCATTGTAAATGTTACTCCCATTTAGTCCTCATGACAGTCCTACCAGGTAAGTATTATATCTGCTTCGCAGATGAGAAAACAGTCTCAGAGAGATGAATGTGCCTAATATCACAGCACTGATAATAGTAGAGCAGGATGCTAGCACAGGTCCCTCATACCATTTCCACTGCCGTGCTGCTCTATCTGGATTTTCCCCATGCCATGTAGCATTGCGGAAGCATGTCCAAATCAAACTGCATACCTAAGGACAACTACTGCTTTTACTCAAAGCAGTAGTTCTATTAGAAGGTTAAAATGAAATGGTTGAAATGAGCACAAATTCATTTAATGTTTAATTATCTGAGATTTTTAAAACTTTGCTACTCATCTTTAACATTTATCCCACTTGTATTGTTTGTGTGCTCTATATAGAATGTAGCATAATGATTTGCCCTTCCTAATTGATTATTTTGTCGTCTTTTTCCTTTTTTCTTTCGCTGTACTTGGGTTCGTTCTGAAATATGACACTTCATTTGGCCCTTTGTGCTGTATGTCAGCGTCTTCAACTTTATGGATACCATTCTCCTACTAATAGTGTATGTACAATACTTTAAATGTTCTTTATGTATATTGCCCTCACCTGTTATACTTGAATAAATGTTATTTCTTTATATAAAGCTATATCTGCTGTTTTTAAATAGAATGTTTCGGAATTTATTGAATATAATAGGTGCAATGAAGCCATAATTTTACATTTCACTCCTAGATTTATGGGAAGACTAAAATATGCAGAACAATTGTATATCTTTAACTTTAGATTAAAATAAGGAAAAGGTAAGTGTACAACAACTAAAACGTAATAATTGAAATTTTATGTTTTTTGGCAGTCTTTGAAGAGTTATGTAGGGAGAGCAGATTCTCAGGCTGTGTTCCTACAGAACACAGGTATTTTGTGAACCGGATCTATTCATCTTATGCACAGTCTTTGTTTAATTCTAATAAAGAAGTGTCTTAATGGATAGGCTTTTTTTAGTTTTCACTTTTGCCCACAAATTTTTTTTAAAGCCTTTGTTCCCTGCCTGTTTCCTCTGGTCTACACAAAAACCTGGTGTCAGCTGCTACTTGATATGTTTGTATCAGTTTATCATATTATTTCTAAAAAGAATAATGATTTTCAGACTCCTTGTCTTGAAAAAATTGAGAATTTCTGTAGATGAATTTCCAGTTGTACTCTTCTCCTTATGCTGAGCTTTCTTCATTCTTTTCTCCAAAGGAAGTCAGCACTTTAGGTTAGCCTAGCTACTAAAGAACAACAGGACATGGCCTTTTTTGAATGTAAACATGTGCAGGTCACTTAATTTCCCCAAGGATCCCTAAGCCTCCTAAAAGGATCCCTCAATTTATAGAAATTCTACCCTAGGAGCTTTTGAATTCAGGGACACTGATTTAACGTTACCTGCTAAAAGTGTTCTAGTTGTAGTGTACAATTCTAAAAGTAGATGTGTTGCCTCCCAATCAAAATTCCAAACTATAAAAACTAATTCTTGCTATAGATTTAAACACCTACTGGAGGCAGATTAGCATAAAGTAAACCTAAGATGTTTATCCTCGTCATACAAAATGGACCTAGAATGGCTTGGGAAACAGCCAAGTCCATGGGATCCATATAACTAATTGTTTTGATTACTTACAAGATACTTTATCTATAAACATCACTACCATTTTCCATTAAATAAAGCCTGTCATTTCCTTTAAATTTTTAAAGGATTACTCTGTTAATGATTTTAAAAAATTATAGAATGTATAAGATGAAAATCACAGATTATAATGCCATATTCCATGTAAATCTTAATAAATGTTAATAATACTTAGGACTTTATGATTTATTTTTCTAATGTAATATGTCATCATTATATGAACCATTTTTCTAACTTTGACAACTTCTATTTTCCCCTTAATCTCATAAGTAATTTTTATATAGGGTGATTTTGCATTTTTTTAAATTGCATCTCAGAATAATATTGCTAAAAGAAAATAGATCCAAATATTCCTCTAGTTTAAACTATATATACAAATTATAGTCACTCAGACATTAAGAGAATAATATTGAGAAGCAGACTTAAATCGCAAAGTTCATTTACATTGTATCTGTTTAATAAAAAATATGATTTTACATTTTATTGTGGTAATATATTTTGTCTTTATATCATTGTATAGAAGATAGCTTTTTCTCACATGTAAAATGCACGTTAAGGTGATGTAACTTGATGTCACTTTTATACACAGTCTTAAATGTTACATGATTTTTCAATTCCCTTAGGAGTTTACTTGGTTAGATCAACTAACTTTATTTCCTATGATAGAAAAATTTTTGCTCAATAAGGTGTTACTATTTTTATAAACTACAAGCAAACAGGGAAATTCATTTAAAATTAGAAAAAAAATCCAACAGCCTGAAAATGTGTATGAAATATCATTGATATAAGTATTACATAAATCTATTAGTATGGTATTATGAATTAACTAGCAATTACCTGCTAGTTTCCGGAGTTGTGAATTAACTCAAGTATCTAATTTGAGCGTAGATCACAGAGCTGGTTATAACGTAAGAGATTTATAATAGCCAGTTTCTACCTTTAGCAAGAAGTTTCCTCAAGGAAAGCAGTGACCTGCTTGGCTTTTTACTATGGAGACAGAGATTCTGTGGGCTCTGTAGTAGACTGTTCCAAAATTTAATCACTCTTACAGTAGAGTCTATTTTCCATCACATTGTTTCCTGCTACACCGTAAGAGTGAGCATACACCTTCGTATTGATGAAGATAGCTGTTGCCTTATAACCTTTTCTGTTCCAAATAACCCTGATTCTTTTCATATTTCTCATATGGTCAACTCTTAATTTCATCATTGCACAGTGATGAAAGGAAGTACAAACATTCAAATGGATAAATAATGCCAATAGTCAAGTAGATTTGACTTTGGCATACATTACAGGATTTTTAAAAAGATTGTTCTGAATTCTCCTAGTTTCATTGCCAACAGAAAATATACCAGTTTTTATACCAATTCTTTGATGTATATTGAGACTTTTTAATGGACTAAAACAATATTGATATTCGTACATGATCTGTATTTGAAAAGAATGTGTATTCTCCAATTTGGGGTACAGGGTTGTAATATATACTAATATCTATTACCAAGCATGTTAGTGATGTGTTTTAAATCTTCTCTGTCATTACTAATGTTTTTGTCTGCTAATTTTTCAACTAGTATGTTAAATTACACATTATAATGGATTTGCTAACTTCTAATTAGAATTTTCTTAATTTTATATATTTTGAATCGTTGTTACCTGTATAAGATTATAGATTTTTATTGTCTTAGTGAATTGAATCTTCTATTATATGCTATCCCTAGATCTCTAGAAATGTGTTTTGCCCTAAAATCTCTTTTAGTTATCAGAATAAATACACTATCTACCTCTCTTTTAATGTTTTGTACTACTTTGTTTTTTCCTGTAGTGATGACGAAGTTTTCCCTGAGTTTTAAAATATATTTTAGTTCAGAAATTTTCTATAATTAAAATACAAATATACAATAAAAATAAAATTATAACCATCACATAGATCAAGAAATAAAATACTGCCATATACCATGAATCCCCTTCATATGTGTCCCCACTCGTAATCCCTCAGTGTCCTTCAAAAGATAAACAGAATCATGACTTTCATGTAAATCACTTACTTGCTTTGTTCTATGGTTTTATCCCCTACTTAGGGATCCTAAAAATGTAGTTTAGTTTTACCCCTTTTTGTACTTTATATAACTGGAATCATTTTATATGACTGTTTCTGTCTCTTGTTTCTTTGGCTCAACACTGTGATTGTTTCATCTGTGTTGTATGTAGTCCATTTTTTTGCTGTAAACAGTGGCATTCAAGCATTGTGGTCTTGTGATCCCATTACATTGTTGAAAGTTGTTGAGGATCCAAAAGAGATTTTGTTTACCTAGGTTATATATTATATATTCACCATTATTAGAAGTTAAAACTGAGAATTTAAAAATATTAGTCTATTTTAAAACAATAATTTAAAAAGTCAGTATATGTTAACATAAACAATTTAGGAAAAATAACTTCAAAAATGCAGGGAGGAGAGTGGGATTGTTTTACATTTTTTGCAAATCTCTTTAATGTCTGGCTTAGTAGAAGACAGCTTGTTTCTCATAGCTGTTTTTTGCATTCAATCTGTTGCAATATGTTATTTTGGCAATAAATACTGTAAGTTGTTTACTTTGAGGTAACAGGCTCAATTGGTTCATTTTCTAAAAGCATGCCTACCAGATACTGAAGTCTGAATAACATGGTTTATCTATTAGTTGTTCTTTCAAGTAAAAGTGGTATCTCATGAAAAAAGTGGCTAGTTCAGGTGGCAACACAAACTATCACACATGTGTTCTTTCTCAAGACAACATGGTACTTCAGTATGCAGCAGTAGTGCTGTATGCATACTTCCTGCTCATCACAGCAAATATTGAAAAGATTCTCATTCCTCTATGCCTCTTAATTTCTCTTTTACAGTTTGCCATATTTTTTTTTCATGCTGCATTCTGTATAATTCTTCATATTTCTAGTCCATTAATTCTACCAGAGATATATAATCTGATATTAAATTTCAGTGGTTAAATTTCTAAGACTTTTATTTGGCTGTTTTTCTAAGAGTATAATAATTTCTGATAGTCTGTTTTTCCTGAATAATCCTTTCAAATGTAGCTTCATACTTTTTAAAGTTATCAAACTTATTTTATATTCCATGTCTAATCATTTCAGTATTAAAAGTCTGAACATCTGGTTCTGTTTGTTTCTGCTGGGTCTCATTTAGGGTAGCTTATGTTCTTATGTCTTTAGCAATTTTGCGTTGTGAGCATACATTTATTAGAATGTCTCTGTTCAGATTCTTTAAGGACTAGATTATGGGTATGTTCTTCCCGGGAGGATTGTGTTTGGTTTTCTTTTTCTTTTTTTCCTATGACATACCTAGGGTGAAGTCCCATGTAACTTTAAATAAGTCTCAGATTACAGCTTTTAGGGCCGTGGTTGTCACAGTGACACAAATTATAAAGATATAGTTTTAATTTGCGTGTGTGTGTGTCTATGTTCAAATATCACTAATAGCAAAGACAGTTTACTGTCTGTTCCTATGAGCTGTTACTTAATTTTTCCCCTAGTTTGTTTAATCTCTGAATATACCTTCTCAGACCATTTATTCAGACAGGGTATTTGCGTGTCTGAACATGGGCAACTTTAGGGAGCCATTATTGTGCTTACCACAGTGATATATTAACCATCATCTCTAAATCAGTCTTCTTTCCTCCTAACTTCCTTTTTCCTTCCTTTCTTCCTTCTCTATTTCCTTCTTTGCTTCCTCCCTTTTTTATTTCCTTCCTTCCTTTCTTTCTTCCTTTCTCCCTCCCTTTCAGTCATATGTATCATGGACTGCCTTGAATGGGGTCTTGCTTTGGCTCACACAAAAAGGCATTGGAAAATTTTGACCAAAACTACAAAGTTTAAGGAAGTTCTGTCAATGATAGACTCTGAACTTAAGCAAAAAATGTGTCAGACTTTCAGGGCACACTACATCCAGGACATCATTTTGCCTGTGCCATTCATTTGTGAAGTTCTGGCTACCTACCTGTTTATTCTTTTACCTCTTCCAATGAATGTCGACACACTTAACATGACATCTGGTAAAGGGGCCAGTAGCTCAGATAACAAACAAAGATAACCGAGAAAACTTCAGGAAGTCTTTGCAGATTTGCCTACTAGTTACGTATCAAAGCATCATAGTTACCTGTTTCACAGCCTTCACAGTGCCCAGTTACGCCTGGGCATTTTTCTGTATCAGCCTTTCCTTACTTAGCCTGTATGAATCAATATGTTCTGGTTTTGTATTTGCTTTGCATTTCTTGCTGTTAAAATCTAGTCTGATTTTCATTGCTACTTTAAGCTTATGTAAAATATCCTCCTTATATTATATTTTCTTGGTGATAAAACTACCTACTAGTTTGCATTTCTGAGAATTTACTCTTAATTTCATCATTCAAATTATTGATTAAAAAATTTAAAACTATCTCCAGAACAGATATATCTATAGGAATCAGTGAGTATGCTAGGTATATCACTGATTTATTAGCTATTTTTTCCTGCAGCAGTAGTTGCTGTAAGGATATTGTTTCTGCCCTCAGAAACTTTATAATTATTTTAAAAATGATGTAAGATAAAACAAAAACAAAGATATCCAGTTACAGCAATTCAGTAGTATATTCTAGCATAAATCCCTGAGGCTAAATAATGAACTGGAAAGCTTTCTGCAGCGGCTAAATAAGATTTTTTAAAATTAAAAAGTTGTATATTATCCTGATAGATAAATACACATTTTGAAAATATTTTCAAATATGGGAAAGCAAAAAGAAGAAAATTTAAATTACCCTAACCCCATCATTTGGAGATAATTAATATATTTTAATATATTTACTTCTTTTTCTTATCTACAAAATATATGTTTGGTTAAACTAATTTTCTCTCTTAATATGTTGTAAATATGTATTTTTGTGTGTGTGTGTGTGTGTGTGTGTGTGTGTGTGTGAGAGAGAGAGAGAGAGAGAGAGAGAGAGGACAGTGTTTGGAAGTAAGGACGAGGCATGGCTTCACAAAGTGAATCATTCCTATTACTCTCCTAATAGCGCACAGTAAGCCTTATTTTCTACTTTGGTGGATTTAATGATCCCTTTCTTTATCACATGCTAACCTTCTGAGATGCAGTTTTAAAATGCATCCACATTCAAAATATGTGAATAATATTTTCAGACTAAGCATTTAATCTAGCTATTCTTTATTGAGATTGTTCCATACCTATTTAAAAGAAAATGAACTGTATTAGTTATATTTTTCGCTAGTTTTACCTGTTTAGTTTATAACAGCTTAAAGCTTATATAATTAGTAAAGGGAGTGGTGCAGATTCTCTGTCAATTTGCTGCATTTATAGTTATGGTAATATTTATGTCTGTTATGTAAAGGGTTCCTCCTAAATAATGCTTTATTAACATTAAGATTTTATTAAAACATAAGCAGAGGGCAGTGTTTCTAGTTAATAATAGTGAATTAAAACTTAGGATATCTTTGAAATAATTCCTAGATGCATGTAATTTTATTAGTAGCACTGGACTTTTAAAGATTAACACAAAATGAAAGAAAGAGAAGTTCTGTTATCATCCAGTCACTTTTGAGTACCCAATGCAGCATTTTCATCTCACATCAACCAGAAGACCACCTGAGAACCTGTGAAATCTTCCCTGATTAATCCTGACAGAAACTGTGTTTAATTATTTTTGTTTATGGAGATCCAAGTTAGGCTTGCAGTTTGACATCTTCTAGGGGGATTAGACTACACTTCTTAATCTACACTTCTTGATATCTCCTTCTATTATCAGATAGAATTTAGTATCTTGTCCTTGTAATAAAGAATAAGAAGTATCTTAACCATTCACAATAGACATACATACCAAATCTCAAGTGGCTTTGAGTGCTTTGACTTAAAACAGGTCTGATTCTTTTTGACAAGTTTCGGATGAATTTAAACTTTGTTTGTCAAAAGTATGGAGATTTGAATCTTTGATACACTAGCAAGATGTATGATAGCCAACAATAATTTATCTTTTAATAGGTTGCTATAAAGTTACCAAAAATTTTCTAAACAAATTTACTTTACACAAGGTGTGAATAGAATTTTTTTCACTCTTTCTTAGAAGTTATACACCTTTCAGTAGAAGGGCAGAGGGAGGGATCGAAGAATTTGATTGTTTTCGACAAAGCTACATTGCACTTAGAAATAGTGGTTATATACCATTACACCTTTGAAAGTACGTGAGTTACCAGCAGCGTAATACAATACTGTTGTGCACAGCAGAAAACAAAACAAAACAAAACAAAAAAAGGTAAGCTAATGTGTTTTCTTTTCAAGGTTGGTTAGATATAAAGTGTATAAATTATTCTTTGTGACTATTCTTCAGATTTCAGTTGTGCTTCTTAAAACTTCTACAGGTAATTAAAACAGATGCTGAAGAACTTGTCTCCAGAAGCTATTGGGATACACTGAGACGTAACACAAGCCAAGCACTCTTTTCAGACCTCGCAGAGGTATAATGAAACCTCAACAAGGTCCTTGTACTATTTGCCATTTCGTTAATCTAGTCCTCATTTCATTTTAGTCATAGTGATGAAACCCAAAATATATGTTACATTTTCCATTTTTAGTACAGCAATAATTACTATACATAAACTGTATTTGAATACCTCAGCTTTGACAGTTCAACTTAATTAAAAGGAAATGCTGTTTCTTTTTACTTAAGAATTACTTTCTAGAAATTATTATATATATACACACATATAAATATATATATATTTTAAAGTTTCACTGAATCTTTTACGCTTACAATTTACCATGTTACATGAAATGCTGAAATGTTTCTCCCAGTAAAAGATTCCTTCAAAGTTATGTTAGATTTAAACAAATTTCCTAATATTAATAATGAGTGGCTTACCAAAGGCTAGAGGTATGAGAGGGTGAGAAGGTATGGTAGGAACAGTCAGTCAAGGAAGGGAGGAATATTTTACCTTGACATTAAGATTGCCAGTGCATAGTGAAAATAAAAAACAGACCAACCTTATTTAGTTTTATTACTGTTTTTGAATTTGATACTAGGCTGCATCTTACTGCTGCATTGGAGTAGACTGCTTCCATTATCCCATTCTTATGCCCTTGTCAATAGGGATTTCTAGTTTTTAAAGATGGGCTGTATCTTAGAAACACTGTTTTGTATTTCTTATTAAGAATTTTTCCTAAGAACTTTATTAGAGGCAGCTTAACAGTCTTACCAGACAAAAACTTTTCAATAAATACTGAGATTTATTTTTCATTATCTCTCTTTTCAAAGTGGCCTTCTCATTTCTTTTTCTAAACTTTAAATTTAACTTTTAAAAGTTGCACCTAAAAGTATCTATAGAACTACACTAGATACAGTTGTGACTTCTATTATCCATATATATAGTGTTACTCTATTGATGTGCCTAGATTAGGGCAAACACTTGAAAATGTTAATTTTGTTTCCCTTGTTCAATTTTAAAGTCCCAAAGCAAATAAATATTTTGTCTTATATTTAATATATCTGTGATATACAAATGTGATATAATTATGACCAACAATTACCTTTTAAAGTTACCTTTTGAATATGAGCCATGTTTAGGTATGAAGTGGCAGATGTTCCATTTACAGGTATTTTAGAAGCACTTTTTTTTTTGTAATCATTTTTGTAAGTACATTATAATAGTCAGTGCTTAAAAATAAGAGCAACTGGGAACATTACCTCTTAAGACTCCCTGCAAGTCAACTGTGACCTAGCTTCCAGGCATCAAATCAAGTCCTATCATTGTTGTCTCTCTCCCATACTAGAGTATCCACCTGCCAGCCTCCAACCGTCTTAATTCCATTTAACTCTAGTAGACATTTTCAGTTATACAAAATCTGCTAATTCGATGTTGAATTTAATTTAAATCTTGGGAAGTTTAATATCAGAAGACCAGTCAGGTCCTGTGCACTCAGAAAATCATATGATTTGTGTAAGATCTTTGGAAAATGTATATGGTTCTGTTGTAGATAGGCTGGAGCTGGTAGGCTTTTACAGCTTCCCAAAGCTAATTAATTCTGCAGACTTCTTCCCAACTAAACATTCTGTGACACCCCTTTGGTACTTGAAAGTGGCAGTTATAGGACTATAAATACCACAGAAACTGGCCAACATTACAAATCAGTCTTTTTTTTTTTTCTGGATAACTCAGTTTGCCAGCACACTTTTGGCTATAATTAATCCACACTATGATCCTAAGCTGCTAAATTAATGAATGAATTGAATCAAATTTCATGAAAGTAAATCTAACGGAGAGAAGAAAGAGGGGAAAAAGAAAAGAAAAGAAAACTTATATCGTGTTCCAAAATAAAATAATTACTTGGGGATTATCTGTTACTACCCTCCCACATTAGAATAATAATTGAGAATTAACTACAGTTCAGTTACAAGTAATTATAAATCCTTATAGGTTACTGTGACTACCAGTGGAATATAGAATTGTTTATAGTATTAGCATTTCAGGATTCAATTTCGTTCAGAAAGAAGTCTTGGAAATCTATTTGGTAATTATATTTCTTTGTTACTTATTTAATATGTAATTATTGAGATAAAATCTCTGTAAATATTATAGGGAAACTGGATATTAGCCTTTCACATTCTAGTCTGGAGCTGTTTCTAGCCATAGATTTTTGAAATTACAGTAAAACTCTGTGTCTCCAATTGTGAAAACATATAATGAAAATTTGAATATCACAGTTAAGACCACTTTCTAACCAAAATCATATATAATAAATTCTTAGTGCAGTATATTATGCAGCTGTTGAATACATTCTGTCAGTGTCAACATTATAAACACTATTTTGAGTTCTACAGATGAAATTAAAATTTTGCTTTAAATTTGCTTTAAATTACATATTCTTAGTAAATTTCAGTCGATTATTCGAAAACTTTATTAACAAACTCAAAAGCTTGAAGATTTCCTCCAGCCCTTGTATACCTCATAGAGATATTATCACATTATAATCAATAAAAATATGTTAAAAGAATATTTTAAACCCTTTAATAGTTTAATATGTTTCATGCAAGTTTATTTTATTATTGAAATCATTTTAAATAATTGTTAATCAAAGTAAGATAATGGCTTTTGTATAAATAGCCCATGGGGTTCTATTGTGGCTTTTTCTCCCTTTGTTATGAAAGCACCTGAATTCATTTTAACAATGAGCACAAGAATCACAGGGATAAAGTCTCTATTTTTGTCTCAGTCATTGAGTGATTTGTTATGTAACACTGTTAGAACACCAAGGACACTGGTATAGTTTTCAGTGACTGAGCAGTACTCTGTGTCACTAAATGGGGCAAAAGTTTTCCCCGTTTTCATTTTCCAATTTTTTTCCTCTGATGTCATTGTTACTTATGCCTCATTGGATCTGGATTATCTGGATAAATGCAACGTACATCTCATAAGATTTTTGACACTGAAAGACTGTTAAGTGAAGGTCTGTTCTGCTCAGTGGGCATGAGAAAAACTGGCTGAATGAGGTCATTGTTTAAAACCTGAATAAGACAAACCCATCTCATTTTAGTATACTGTGTCTTGAAAAGGACATCCCACAGTGTAAGAAAACATTCCTTAATTATGTTATCTGAATTTACTTTTAGTATTCCTGTAGCCACTCATTTTAAGGCTTTTTTTTTCTTCAGATATATATAATATGTACTTTCAACAGCAAAAAGTAAGAGTGAACAATGTAAAAATCTTTTTTTATTAAGATTGAACATTATTATCTTTTCTGTCTTGTCTAGTCCCTTTTCAGTGTCCTGAAATATATTTGACAAAAATACATAATAACAGCTAACACTTTATTGAGCATTTGTAGTACCCTAGTCACAGGCTAAATGACTTAAATGTGTTATCTAATCCTTACCACAACCCTTCAAGATAGATACTGTTATTATTCCTTAAGAAAGATGAACTTCTTTGAGGTCACTTAAATAATGAGAAGTGTCTGAAAGCCAGCTATTTGACTCTTGAATTCATCCTATTTGCTCACCACAATACTGCCTATTTGTGAAGTAAGCAACTTTTTCAAAAACATTTCCCCCTTTGGATCCCACTCTGTCTCCTTTCCTCCCATCCCATTCCTCTAGCTTCCAGATAGAGGTGAGAGCCTCTATTCTCATGCCACACTCAGGCATGGAATCACCTCTGACATACTTCCTCCTACTAGTAATTTGAGCTGATAATAAGATAATAAACATATTAAGCTAGACTCTGTTAAATCACAAAAAGTGTCTATATTAATGTCAGATTTCTTTTTTCCCAAAAGTTATTTGCATCTTACGACTACTAATAAGAACATTTGTTTGCTTATATTTTAACTTTATCCTCAAAATGGTTGTTATGGTTAGGATTATTCCCATTTTATAGATAAGAAAGCTCAAGGTAAAAAAAAAAAAAAAAAAAAAAAAAAAAAAAAAAAAAAAGAAAAAAAGAAAAAAAAGTCAGTGACTCAGGTCACTAATTTTAAATCTTGTTCTCTCTATGAGGGCAGGTTGCCTCTTCAACGTAAAGCTCCTGGGGAAAGTAATGCCTTTGAGAGCTACTCCAATTATACTAGTCTCCCGTTACTTATGGAGCCCACATGGCTGGCACCACTAATATTCCTCAACTTTCATAAGAAGCTTGTTCAAGAAAATGCATTTAAAACATAGTATGTGACACTTGGCTACCTGGCTGTATTTTTTTCTCCCAGCAAACAGACCAAACCACTATCAGATCCTCAAATAAGTTGGTTATATTATAGAGAACTTCTCAGGTATCCCAGCTACAGAGAATACTTGGGATTTCTCAGCAAAATAAACTGAGAAGTAGTTGTAGAGATCTACCAAACTTACTTAAATATAAATAGAATATTTAGATGATTACTAAAGAATGTCAACAATTTTAGATAATTTAAAGTATAGACACCCTACATGCTGGAGTTTTTAAGAGAGATGTGAATACTTAGTCACTTTAGAAAAAGATTTTAATGCATTAAAAAGGGGCATGTGGAGGGGAGATCAGATGTGATCTCTGTTACTCCATGTTATTCATTAAAAGAGAAGAAGTTTGGTCCATGGAGAAAGGAAATAAAGATTCAACAAATGTTATGAAAGATAAAATCACTATCTTTATGAAACATTTGGAAGAGGGCTGTGAGGAATCAAAGGAATATGAAAAGTTAATGTATGGAAGATGGGTGAATGAGACTTTTGATCAACAACCACAGAAGACTGATCCTTTGTGGAGAAGTATTTGTTTTCTGTCTTATGTTTCCTATGGAGGAGTACCATCAGGATTCTGGACAAGAAGAAATAAAACTATGTACCTATCTACAGCTATTTTTCTTGAATAAAAAATGTATTATTTAAACTCTTTTTTTTTTCACATTTCCTAGGATGATTTACAGGAGAGTTAGAATCCTTTGAATTTTATGCTTTTTTTTTTTTTTTTTTTGGAGATGTTTCGCTCTTGTTACCCAGGCTGGAGTGCAATGGCGCGATCTCGGCTCACCTCAATCTCCGCCTCCTGGNGGAGTGCAATGGCGCGATCTCGGCTCACCGCAATCTCCGCCTCCTGGGTTCAGGCAATTCTCCTGCCTCAGCCTCCTGAGTAGCTGGGATTACAGCCACGTGCCACCATGACCAGCTGATTTTTTGTATTTTTAGTAGAGACGGGGTTTCACCATGTTGACCAGGATGGTCTCGATCTCTTGACCTCGTGATCCACCTGCCTTGGCCTCCCAAAGTGCTGGGATTACAGAATTTTATGCTTTTTGTACCTGAGTTTATGAAATGAGTTAAAGGCCAACTGAAGAAGGAAGGAAGGGAAGGAAAGAAAAGGAAGATCTATAAAGCTACATTAAAGGAAGGTGGATGATTTTCATAGGCCATTATACTTTATAAGGACTATAACAAAGCAGTTTTAAGAAAATACTTGGAACTTAGTTTATTAACTTGAGTGGGAAAGGAAAAATCATCTGGAATTAATTTTTTATCCGTTTGACAAGTTACATAAGACTTTGAAAAATTATAGACAATATAAATTTCAACGTCATTACTTTAGGTTTTCTCTTTCGAAATACAGTATCCATTTAAAGTATCATAGTTATGGAATATAATGGTTAAAGGAAGCTGTTTTGTGAATCTTGGACCATTCTTGAGTCAGTCCCATATATTCAGTATATCTGAAGAGTTTATCTCTTTTGAACATCATTTAAAAATATTTTTTTTCAGGTTAGGAAAATCAAAACTAAATTACTTAAATAAAAATAGAATAGATGTTCACTAAAGGATTTCAATTATTTTAGATAATTTAAAAGAATCTTATATGCATAATTTGAGATTAAACATTTCTTAAATCTAAAAAGTTTTCAGTACAAAGATTAGTTTCATTCAAAGTTCTATTATTAAAGTGTGAGCTTTAACTATAATTGCATGTATTAATATGCCTATGTTTTTCATTCCAATATTAATATACTTACATTCTTGATGCTTATATGTTGATAACAAAATCCTTTGAGAGATATTGGGTATCCTTATTCTGTTTCTTTTATTGAAGCTAACTTTTAAATTGTGATTTTTTTTTTAAGCGTGCTGATGACATCACAAGTTTAGTAACAGATACTACACTTCTTGTACACTTTTTTGGAAAGAAAGGAAAAGCTGAGCTCAACTTTGAAGATTTTTATAGGTGAGCTCATTTTTATATTTTTCTTAAAAATTATTAGCAAACTGAAGTCAGAAGCCTCTTTAGAAATTGTCAGTACAGCAATACTCACCTCTTTGTTACTTTAATCTTAAATAAGATACTCTTTGTAATAAATACTCACATTTATCAGTACCTACATACCAGTTGTTATATTGATAATTATAACAGGAAGTTACTGAATTTTTTTAAATTCCAGATATCTAGATTGATTGTTATCTCCTGTATATTGAAAAGAAAGTATGTTGCCAATTTCTTACTCTCAATAAGCCACGGTGATAATAACAAGTAGTTTAAGTATCATTGCTACTCCGGAAGTTACTTTTGTTATCTTCATGTTATAGATGAGGAAACTAAACCCCTGAAAAGCTAGGTTATTTGCCCCAGGTGCTGCAGTCATTAAGTGGTAAAGCCTCACAAATCATGTGCTCTTTTCATTCTCATTTACAGGGAGGAACATTTATTAATCTTTGTGTCATCATACAATTATTTTCATGTAACCTGTTCTGGGACACTGAGTATTTAATCATTTCCTGTTACCATTACTCTCCATTTATCTTTTTCATTATTTATTACATTTTTGTCATAGATTCATGGATAATCTCCAAACAGAAGTTCTAGAAATAGAATTCCTTTCCTACTCTAATGGAATGAATACCATCAGTGAAGAAGATTTTGCTCATATTCTTTTACGATATACAAATGTGGAAAATACGTCAGTATTTTTAGAAAATGTGCGTTACAGTATACCTGAAGAAAAGGTATCTAATCCTTATATTTAGTTGGTTATGTTACTGTTTTGTAATATGTGCCTATAAAACACATTGCCCTTTTGTTAGTTCTTTTGCTTCTCTGTGGATTAAAAAATGTCTTAGATGTATTTCATTCTGTGTCCTAAGTGCCCTGGCTACATTTTAATAAATGAATTAATTGTAAATTCTGGGTAGATATGTACATTTTTCTTAGGTATTTTGAAAATCCTTTAGGCTATTAGCAGTTGTTTTATTCAAATTAACAATATAATTTTTCAGGAGAATTCCACTTAGCTATATGCTTTGACTACTACCAAAACATCACCGTATAAAAAACAGTTTATGTTGACATCATTTCTGTCACACTCTATTCCTTTCCGTAACACCCTTAATAAAAGGTCATTTGAAGACCACCATTGATGAGTGAGTGATCTTATCATCGGCTGAAGTCAAGTTTTTCAAAGAGTTTGGATGGCATGAATGGTTAAGAACCTGGGACAACTGATTGTCTATTTGTTTAGTAACAAATGTGTTGTCAGCACTTCTGAACAGTTGCATTATCTAGTGGTATTTGAATGCATCATTGCAACCAAATAGAACTAGTGTTATAAGCATGGGATGTTTTAGATATATTGCCTTCTATTTGTGTTTATACAAGGATCAGGTTAATCATCCAAGAAAAATTTGCAAATAGTTTGACTTTGTTTAGAATGGAAACACTGTGACAATGTTAACAATTCTCCATGTCCCCTAAGGAATGAAAAAAAAAAAAAAAAGGACTTGATGCATTTGGCAATTAGTTTACATTATCACCGAATTAGAGTACTTTTTATCTGTTTCCATGTTAAACTGAATTTTTCCAATTCATAGTTACTTCCCTAAAAATAAACATTGAAAATTTTACTAACCCTAGTAGTGCAATTTTTCAGCTACTGGGGTATTACTTAGGGCCTTGAATCTGCTTTTTTTTTTTTTTTTTTGCTTTTACTAAATGGAAATATTAAAATCTGTAACTTAAAAGGTTAGGTTTCTTTAAGTTATATTCAGTTTCTGAAAACTTCTAATTTCTAGAAGTATCTGAAGCACCACAAATGATTACTGTAGAAATGGGAAAATTTGCACATGAACCAGAATGGATTCTCATTGATTTATTTTTTCTACATTACCTCATCAATCCTCAGAGCAACCTTCCAGGCTTGACAGCTTTCTTTGGCATCTTTCTTTTAGAACAGGAGAAGCTGAGGCTTTCAGGTACTTAGACACTTGTCTAAGAATTCATATCCAAGGCTTTCTAAGCCTGTGATATTCTTTCCACACTCTACTTATGTCTTTCCCTTCCTTCCACCTACTTAACACTTTCCCTTCCTTCCATCTCATCTCCTTCTCTCCAGAAGAATAATAGCTACTAATATTTGAATAGCACTTTAGATTTTTTAATTACTTTCATTTTCATTTGCTTACATAGCAGATATTTATTGAGCATCTACCTGGCTTTATTCTAACTACTGGGGTTAAAGTGGCAACATAAGCAAAGTACTTCTCTCGTGGAAATATATCTTAGCGGAGAGACACAATAAACAAGCGAAAAAAATGACATACTTCTAGATACTGATAAATGTTATGAAAGAGAGCAAGAGTCACGGGGACTGGAAAAGAAGGTAGACTGTCAGGAAGAGCTTTGCTGAAGAGTTAAGAGGTAGCTTTTGTGAGGAATAAGCTATGGAAAGTTCTGGGTAAAGAGTCTTCCAGGTAGAGGTAACAGCAAATACCAAGGGCCTGAGGACAGAGAAGCTTAGTTTATTTGAGAAAATGCCAAAAAATAAAGTAAGTGGACAGGAAAATTGGAGGAGATGAGTAAGGAGAGGTAGATATGGGTCAAATCTTTTAAGACTCTGTAGGCTAAGGTAAGAAGTTTAGACTTTATTCGAATAGTGACTCTAAGAGTAACGAGAAACCACTATAGTACTTAAACTTTAAAGTAGGAGTCAGCAAACTGCCTCACTTCCTATTTTTGTACGTAAAATTGTATTGGAACACAGCCATGCTCATTCATTTAATATATTGTCTGCAACTGTTTTTGTACCATGATGGTAAAGTTGAGGCAACAGAGACCATGTAGTCAGCAAAAATTAAAATATTTACTCTCTGGCCCTTTAGAGAAAAAGCTGTGCACCTTGCTTTAGAGCATAGGCATGATGCTCATTCAAAAAATATTTATTCAGCAAGTACTGACAACCATCTATGGCACTCAGATGTGGTCTAATTCATGCGCCAGATAAAATCTGATTCATGTTTCAAAAGATGTCTTGGCTGCTACAAAACAGAATAGATTTTAGGTGGCTTGCCTTTGAAAGGAATAGACAGCTTAAAGTACTGTTATAGGTGCCCAGGCAATAGGTAAGCATGGCTTAGACCAGGGTAAGAGTAGGGAAAAGGAGTCAGATATTGATTGGATCATTTAAAAAGTAGAGCTGATAGTACCTGTTCATGGATTATAATTCAGTATAAGGGAAAAAGAGGAACAGGGAACTCCTAGGGCTTTGGCTTGAACCACAAGCTGAACCAGTGCCATTTACAACCATGAATTTGGGGTTAGGAGAGAATCAAAGAGTTTTATTAGGGACCAGTTATATTTGAGATTTTAAATAGATATCTAAATGAAGAATTAAGCAGGCCAGTTGGATATGTGAATGTAGCAGTCAAGGGTGCATGCAGGACTACTGATTAGTAGTCCTTAGTGTATAAACTTCCACATTGTCTCCAGCTTAAACTTCTCCCCCAAATTTCAGGCTTTTACACTGTACTGCCCACTCAGCATCTCCACTTGAAGAACCAGTAGATATCTCAGACTTAATGGTTGCAAACCTGAACTTCTGATCATTCCCATAAAACTTGTTCCACAAACCATCTACCCTGTTTCAGTTCATAGAAACTCCATTCTTCTTAATTCTTGTGGCTAAAATTTTGGACTCCTTCATTTCACATTCTACATAAAATCAGTCCATCAACAAATCCTACTGATAATACCCATATCAGAATTTAACCACTCTTAGCCACCTCCGCTGCTGCCACCCAAGTCACCATTCTACCTGGATTTTTGCAGTTGCCTCCCAGATCATCCTTCTGCCTCCGACTTTGCCTCCCTGCAATCTGTTCTGCATTTAGCATTTACAGAAATGCTTTTCACTGTAATTTAGATCATGCCACAGTAAGATCTCCATTCTTCTCAAAGTAAAAGCCAAAATCCTTACAGTGGATCCTACACACACTGCTCCCTCATTACCTTTGACCTCACTTCCTATATTCTGATCCTCCTCACTCACTCTGCACCAGCCACGTCTCACATCTGCTCTCTTGGGGCTTTTGTATATGTTGTCCTCTCTAAGGAGAATGCTCTTCCCTTAATATCCACATGCTCGTTATGCTATTTCTCAATGATGCCTACCGTTTCTAACCTAAAATATAAATAATAGCCTATTATATGAATAATATATTATCTATTATGTAAATGATACTCCTTCTCCTGGCATTCCCTATTCCTTCCTACATTAATCTGTTTTTATTTCCATCACATTATCATATTCTAACATACTGTATCATTTGCTTATTTCCTTATACAAATATATTTTATGTATATGTATGCATATATATATTACATCGAACTCCTGTTAATTGATGGATAGCTGGTATTTTAAAATGCAGAACTTAAAGCTTATTTGTTTTTATGAATTTTACCTACAGATATATTCACTTATGATGAAATGGCACATGTACAAGGTTATTCATTATAATGTTGTTTGTAATAGCAACAGATTGGCAATGCCTAAATGTCTTTCAGAAAGTTGCTGATCAAATATGTCATGATATATCTATAGAATGGATTAAGGTGCAACTGAAAAGAGATCAAGAAAATTCTTTACTTAGTGTAGAACAATGTCCACGATACAGTAAGTGTGAAAAGAGCATGATTTACAGCCGTTTGTAGTGTATAAAAAGCTTATGCTAACTCTGGAAGGATTCACAGAACTAGAAATTGGTTTCTCTAAAGAAAGAAACTACATGGCTAAGGGTGGAAGGGAGATTTTGTGCTATACAATCTCTTGTGCCTTTTGAATTTTGAACAAGTGAATATATTGTCATATTAAATAAATAAAAACATTTAAATGTCGTAGAACTAGGTAAACTTATCTAGGAGAAAATGTAGATAGTGACCAGAAGGGATGGAAAGATGGCTTCTCATCATAACCATGTAATACAAATATTAACAAGAAAGTAATATAATTATTGTTATTAAGCTTTAAGGAAATGGATATTCAGAAAGATTTAACTGGCTTACATTATGTCATTCAGCCAGTAAACTTTAGAGTTTGGATTTATTTCTCCTAAACTTTTAAACTCATTTATTTTTCTAAAAGTTATTATATAGTTGCCATTTATATCAGTTACCAATAAACTTTGAACAGTGTATACATAGTGGCATAAGTTATGGGATTAGCATGAATTTTGTGCTGAAAACAAACATGGCTTATACACACTTGAAAGCCCCCATAAGACCATGTTTTCTGAATGTCCATTTGTATTTAGTCAGTAGTATATTGTAATGATTTTTTTGAAGTTTTCGAGTTGGTCTTTTCCTCTTTCTAGTGTTGTGTTTTTTATTTTGTTGAGGTAAAATTTGTGTAACATCAAATCAACCATTTTAAACTGATTAATTCAGTGGGATTTAGTGAATTCACAATATTGTATAACCACCACTTCTGTCTACTTCTAAAACATTTTTATCATACCAAAACTAAGCCCCATACCTATTAAGCAGCCCCTTCCCATTTCCTTCTCTCCTCAGTCCCTGGCAATCATCACTCTGCTTTCTGTCTCCGTAGATTTACTTATTCTAGATATTTCATGTAAATGGAATCATACAGCATATAACCTTTCTGTTTGCCTTCTTTCATAGTATTTTTAAATTATTCACTTTTATTTAGTTTTTTTAAGAAACGGGGTCCTTCTGTGTCACCCAGGCTGGGGTGCAGTGGTGCAACCATAGCTCACCACAGCCTCGAACTCCTTGGCCCCAGTGATCCTCCCACCTTGGTCTCCCAAGTAGCTGCCTGGCTAATTTTTTTTTTTTTTTTCATAGAGACAGGGTTTTGGTGTTTGTTTCTTTGTTTGTTTGTTTGTTTTGCCTAGGCTTGTCTCAAACTCCTGACTTCAAGTGATCCTCCCACCTCGGCCTTCCAAAGTAGTGGAATTACGGGGGTGAGCCACCATCCCTGGTCTGATAGTATTTTTGAGGTTCATCCACATTGTAGCACATATCAGTATTTTATTCTTTGCTGTGGCTGAATAATAATTTTCATTTTATGTACATACTACAATTTGTTTATCCATTCATCCTTCCATAGACATTTGGGCTATTTCTACCTTTGGCTATTGTGAGTAGTGCTGCTATGAATAAATGTGCACATGTAGTTTTGATTTGTATTTTCCCAGGAATAATTATATTCATTATCTTTTTATATGCTTATTGGCCATTTCTTTGGAGAAATGACTTTTCAAGTCCTTTGCCCATTTTTAAATTAAGCTGTTTATCTTTTTGTTACTGCTTTGTACATCTTCTTTATATAAACTGGATTCTAGAGCTTTATCAGATACATGATTTGCAAATATTTTCTCCCATTTTGTGGATTGTCTTTTCACTTTCTTTTTATTTATTATTTATTTCTAATTTTTTTCTACAGAGAGGGCCTTTACTCTGTTGCCCATGCAGGATTGCAGCGGCACAATCATGCTCACTGCAGCCTCAAAATCCTGGGCTCAAATGATCCTCCTGCCTCAGCCTCCCAGGTAGCTAGGAGTACAGGCTCATGCTATCACAGCCAGCTAATTTTGATAATGTTCATTAATGCACATGTTTTTAGTTTGATGAAGTCTAGTTTATCTATTTTTATTCTGTTCCTTATGTGTTTGGTGTCGTAATTAAGCAGCTGTTGCCAATTCAAGGTCATGAAGTTTTGTGTGGTTATTTTGTAAGTCTTACAGCTTTACCTATTAAATTTAGATCTTTGATCTGTTTTGAGTTAGTTTTTATAAGCGGTATGAAATTAGGGTCTAGCTTCTTTCTTTCGTGTGTGGATATCCAGTTGTCATAGCACCACTTATGAAAGAAACAGTTCCTTCCCCAATAAATGGTATTTTTGACACTGTATTAGTCCACTTTCACACTGCTATAAAGAGATGTCTGAGACTGGGTAATTTATAAAGGAAAGAGGTTTAATTGACTCATTTCCACATGGCTGGGGAGGCCTCAGATAACTTACAATCATGGCAGAAGGCAAAGGAGAAGAGAGAGAAAACAAGGCAGCAGGAGAGAGAGAGAGAACACACAGGAAAAACTGCCATTTATAAAACCATCAGATCTTATGAGAATTCACCCACTATCAGCATGGGGGGAACTGCCCCCATAATCCATTCACTTCCCTCCCTCAACATGTGGAGATTATAGGTCCCTCCTTCCCTCAACTTGTGGGGATTACAATTTGAGATGAGATTTGGGTGAGGATACACAGCCAGACCACATCAACATCCTTATTGAAAGTGAGTTGACCATAGATATTTGGGTGTATTTCTGTATTCTCAGTGCATGTATTTTTTGATGCTTTCAACTTTTGAGTTATAATTGTTTTATTTTTGTTAGCATATAAGCTGCTTCTTTTCACCTTATTTCTAACAGGGAAAATTCCATTTAAGTCCTGATGGTTTAAGTAGTGATTCTGGGGGCAAGGATGGTAAAGAGAAGAAATGGCCACACCTTTTTTCTCTGTCCCTCTCCCAGACTGTCTGTCCCTCTCAGGCCATTAAGAAACATTGCTTCAAATTATCTCCCTCAAAATAAATGTTCCATTTGTTATTTTATAATTTTGTATTTCTAAACACAAAGTATTTAATCTATACCAAAAGAATGACTGTATGGTTCTGAATTTGACGTGTCTTCCCAAACATGAGAACCATGTGTTGAAAAATCTAAAAGTTTGGAAGTTCAACATTGTAATCTGTCATTTTAAAATTTATTTCTTAATTTCAAGCCTGACCCCAATATATTGATATTTTGTTTGCCCTTTATTTAAAAATATCCCATCCTTGTGTGTTTTACTCCTACCAACAGTAGCCTGTCACCCAGAGACTGCTGTAATATTAGCAGGTCATAGCATAAACTGGTGCAGAACCACAGCAGTGACCAGTTTTTTTAATTTAATTTTTTTTTTTTGGCAACAAGCTCTCCACATCAAGACAAACTTTCTGGTACAGTCCTCCTAACCGATTCAAACATGATGGGTGGGATAGGGTCACAAAGCAGGATCCAGGATTGGAATGGCCATAAATGAATATAAGGAAAGAGGAAGTAAAAAATGTGAGGACAAAAGACAGTAAGGATCTCACGTTGCAAGTAAAAGATGAGTTGTTAATTGAAGTAACATATACCAAAAGTTGGGTGTTTGGGTAAAAATCATTTGATCTAATCAGTAGCTGGCTTATATGAAACTAGACCCCTGTGGTTCCTTCCCTGGCCTTCCAACATTGCCTTGTTCGTCACCCTTCCTCATTCACCCTCCTATTAAACTAAGAATTTGTTAGGTCTAAACTCAGCCTTCTGCTCTTCTGTCTTTCTCAATTATGTTAATTTGCTGAGAACAAACACATTAACTAAATGCACCTTCTCTTGTCCAAATATGTATTCTCTGAGATACATTGTACTTATTTAAAAGACTTTCCCTATTCAACTGAAGTAACACCAATGGCAAAAATTGCAGTTTATACACATGACATTCCAGAAGAGGCCACCCTGACTACCAATCCTTTACATGATCCCACACCAGCCTCGTGTGGAGGCGCCCAGAACTGTGTCTCTGAGGTCACTGCACTTCCTGCTCCTGCCCTGGCAGTGCTATAGTGACAGGAGCAAGTGTGAATAGGCTGCTTTGACTCGGAGTCAGCACTTTGATTTTGCATTGTCATTATAAAGATATTCGTGACCTAATGCTGAATCACATTTGAGTAGTACCTCTGCAGGGGAAACTTTGTTTTTGGCTTTTTTTGTTTTTTTCTTTATTACCGTATTTACTTTAAAGGTTAAAAAAAATCAGGTCTCAAATAGAGGATTTGCAAAATTGAAACTTTTTAATTCTTTTTTATTGGCAGTTTTTTTTTGGAATTTTGTGCTGATATGACAGTGTTTAAAAAATATTTTCCCTATTATTGTAATGGTAGCAGCACTACCCAGTGAAAGTAAGTCTGAGTGAATTTTACCTTCCAGTTGGAGAACAACTTCAAAATGTGGCCTGGAAATGTTTAGCTACAAGATACATTGCAAATGCTTAATCTGTTTATTTCTCTTATGTGTTGATACTTATTTTAATAAATTTGGCAATGCTAAATGTATTTTCATTTATTTTCCCTATACAGGGCATCACATTTGATGAATTCAGGTCATTTTTCCAGTTTTTAAACAACCTAGAAGATTTTGCAATAGCTCTGAATATGTATAACTTTGCAAGTCGTTCCATAGGGCAAGGTAAGTAATGATCTACAAAAATTAAAAGCAAAAAAAAAAAAAAAATCCTACATTGTTTCTAGAGATTTTGGAACTAATTAATTAAATGTGACATATCACTTATCAACTTGTGTGTGAAAGTCTGGTGTATACTTTCAGTGACAAATCAGTTCTAGTACTTAAAACAGTCATGAGGAAGAAACCTCATGGCCACTGGGTGACACTGAGGGACTTGTGTCTACCTATGGAAGAGCCAGCTGGTCATGCCATATTCTCACAGGATGGATTTATTTTACTAATTTAGTGCCTGCTGACTCAGAAACTGGAATTTTTCTCAGCAGAGCCACCTCTTAGCCATGGACTTATATTAACCAACTAACCTGTAAAATTGAGCATCAGTTTTGCGTAATTTTCAAAGAAATACAGTGGTCACCGAATTCAGAATGCCGGTGTCCTCAGAGCCAGCTGTCTTAACAGCCTGTCGGTTAGCCTGTAGAAAAAGCCAAGTCTTTTTCCTAGGATCCTGTGGCTGTGATCATCTTCCCTCCCCTCATGGCCATGTCCTTTTTAAAAATTCTTGCCATATGGGGACTTTGTTTATCTTTAAGGTGATATACCTGTCTCTGCCATAACTTAATATATGTTCATCCACAAGCTTAAATCCCAGAGGACAGTCTTTGTTTTTTTATTATTATGTTCTAGAGAGAAGCCAAACTGCAGTCCCTAAGTACTGATGAGAATTATCTCTTTCCCAAGAACATAGATACTGATTTCATTATATGGCCTTATTCATTTATTCGTTGAACAAGAGAAACCTGAAAAATTTTACGTTTTACCCTTCCTGTAGTCTAGATGTTCAAATAAGGCATCTTCCCAACCCATTTTAGTGTTTTAAAGCCAAAACCTTTGGGAACTCCACCTTGACAGACTAGCCTTTACTGCCATGATAAACCTAATCAGTGTGTAAAGAAACAAATCAATATCTGGTTACCGGGTTCAGAATGGAAAAGTTGTTCTTTTTTTAGAACTGGGTAATGAAAAAAAAATTGATGGTGTCACCTGTCTTGCAGGTGCTAAAAATACGTCTATCCCTTTTTGCCACCACAAGTATCTTTATTCAAATTATTATCCCTTAAAAGGAATATTCCTGCAGTCACCAAAGTGGCAATCCTGCCACTAGCTACTTTCTGCTTTGATATTTCCTATACACCTGACAGAATAGTTTTTCTTAAAAATTTAACTTTTCTATGACACATCCGCAGTGGACAACTCTTATATTTTCCAGTTGCCTGTTGAAGAATGTTCTGGCTCCCTGCCTCAGAGTCTTTGTGCAGAGCTTCTCCAGATACTAGATGTTCCCAGCTCCACCCAGATCAGATTCACTGTTTTCTGAACATGTTTTGTGCCCTCCCACCTCCCCTCATGCCTTAGTTCATTCATGTCATCTCATCTGCCATTTCTGTCATCTCTATGAGCTGAAACTGTTCTTTTGCATTCAGCTCAAAGATAAAAATCACAGCCTTTTCCTAACCACTGTCTTTCTCTCCCTGCTCTATGCTACACACAGCAGTGATCATTCATCTCCAGATTTTCATAGCACTTTGTTGGTACTTTTTGTGTGGCCCTGTGCAATGATTATTTGGGCAGGGGTCTCATCTCCCATCTGAACTGTAAGTTTCTTGAAAACCTATTCATCTTAGTAACTTCTGAAGTATCTGTCACCAATAGTAGGTGCTCATTAAACATTTATTGAATATGCATGCATTATTAACCCAAGCTGTTTGGCTGTTTTCATTTAAACCCCCAAAATATGTATTACCTAAAAGACAGCATGATTAATGAAAAGCCATGTGTTATATCAGATCATGATTCACATTTAGAAAACAACTTTTTTACAACCTTTCTAGTAATTAACACATATTATAAAAATAATAACAGTCTGTTCTTTTCCTGTGTAACATTTTTCTAGATGAATTTAAGCGTGCCGTCTATGTAGCTACTGGACTCAGACTTTCACCGCATTTGGTGAATACTGTCTTCAAGATTTTTGATGTTGACAAAGATGATCAATTAAGTTATAAAGAATTTATTGGAATTATGAAAGACAGACTCCATAGAGGATTCCGGGTAAACCTACACATTTTAGACCTATTGATATCCTTTTAAAGTCTGAGGGAAATAAATCCATCTAAGTTGAGAAATAACTTATCTTGATTTCTTAAGGATGTAAACATGAGTGCGCTATTTGAAAAGGAAAAAAACATAGGCGTTAGTGCCCTTGAAAAAACATTTTTTGAGGTGATAAAGAGAATGCTTTTTTAAAAATGTAAAATCAGTTTGACCTTATAATAATTTATTTTCGTATTCAATTAATCTAATGTCTTCATCCTAGTTTGTGGAGGAAAAATGTTGCCAAATGTTTTCAGAAAATTTAGTCTGCCTGTTAGCTTTTTGGACTTGTTACTATACAAATAAATATCACTATTTGTCATTTTATTTTATTTTATTTATTCCTTTAGTCTTACTCTGCCACCCAGGCTGGAGTGCAGAGGCATGGTCACAGCTCACTGCAGCTTAGAACTGCTGGGCTCAAGTGAGCCTCCTGCTTCAGCCTCCCAAGTAGCTGGGACTATAGGTGCATGCCACCATGCCTGGCTAATTTATAATTTTTTTTTTAAGTAGCAATTAAAACTGCTTTTTAAAAGTGCATTTAGAATGTCCTCCCAGCAAAATAAGTGTGTGAGCTGATGGATTTGTTAATAAGTTTAATATAATCATTCATATATATATATATATATATATATATCTCAAAACATCACATTTATCCCATAAATACATATTTATATACTATTATTTATAGATTAAAAATTTAAAAATGACTCTAGACTGTTGCCCTGGCTGGTGTTAAGCTCCTGGGCTCAAGCAATTCTCCTGCCTTAACCTCCCAAAGTACAAAGATTATAGGCATGAGACACCGACCTGGCCACTATTTCTCATTTTAAATGAGACAGATTTCCTCTAGGCAACTTGAGGCCCTTAAATCACTGCATAGTCAGTACTTTTTAATATGAAAAATAAGTTAACATTTTTTAATCTATTGAAATCTTATAGTAAAAATATAATTACCTGAAATTCAGTGATTTTTTCCCCAAAAAACATATTTTAAATCTAGAAATACAGTTATGAATAAATGTGTACACTGCTAATGAATTATGAATATCCACAAATAGAAGAAGAGAAAAAAATCTAGTAAAATTAAGAGCTAGAATATTCAATCTTCCCTCTGTCAAAAAAGAATATCGTTAAGTTTTATACTTTTTTTTTTTTTTTTTATGAGACAGAGTCTTGCTCTGTCGCCCAGGCTGGAGTGCAGTGGTGCGATCTTGGCTCACTGCAGCCTTCGCCTCCCGGGTTCTCTTGCCTCAGCCTACTGAGTGGCTGGAATTATAGGCACGCACCACCACCCCCCACTACTTTTTTGTATTTTTAGTAGAGACGGGGTTTCGTTATGTTAGCCAGGCTGGTTTCAAACTTCTAGCCTCAAGTAATCTGCCTGCCTCGACCTCCCAAAATGTTGGGATTGCAGGCGTGAGCCACCACACCAGCCAGTATTACACATTTTAAAAGAGAAAAGGTTATATATACAAAAACTCAAGATTCATCTTAGACAATGATTTTAAAGATTTTTAATGACTTTGAAGTCCAAGCTGCTTGAGTAAAGATGCTGTGTACTTAACTGCCACCTAGTGGTTAGCTGTTAACATTTTAGATGATGCCAGAAGTACCTGAAACAACATACACTGAAAATGATTTATTTTGCCTCAAAAATGTTAGAGTAGCAAGATCAAATTAAATATAAACTATGCTACAAATGTTTGACACTATTGCTCTCTTGATTGTTGTGTTTTTATTTTTATTTATTTATTGCATACCTGTGGCCTTTAGCATTTTATTTGCATTTGCACATTTTTTATTTTTAACCAACAAATAATAGTATATAAATATGTATTTATGGGGTAAATGTGATGTTTTGGGATATATATATATGTAGTGAAAAGACTATATCAAACTTATTAACAAATCCATCAGCTCACATACTTATTTTGTTGTTGTGAGAACATTTTAAGCGTGCTTTTTAAAAGCAGTTTTAAAATATGAAATACGTGATTACTAACTATGGTCACCTTGCTGTGCAATAGATCTGAAAAACATATTCCTCCTGTCTAACTGGAACTTTGTATCCTTTGGTCAACTTCTCCCCTCTCCTCCCCAATTCCCAGCCCTCGAGCCTTTGGTAACTAACATTCCACTCTCCACTTGTATGAGTTTGACTTTTTAGATTCCACATATAAGTGAAATCACACTGTATTTGTCTTTCTGTACATTTGCACACTTTGCTCTTCTATTCTACAGGGTTATAAAACAGTCCAGAAGTATCCCACTTTCAAATCCTGCCTGAAGAAGGAACTTCATAGCAGATAAGTATGTTCGCTTCTATTTGTCTAAATATATTCAATAACAATAGGCATCATAATTTATTTTTCTGTTACAATGTTTAGAAAATAGCTGAAAGAAATAGAATTATCTAATTTATTTTTAATTTTTAGGTCATTAGAGTATCTTGATTGACAGATTTTACGTTAAACATGAAGTTTTGTATGTGAGCAGACCCAATGTAAGAAATCCAAATTGGACTTTTTAAATATAGGATAATTAGCACCCAAAGAATATTTGTTACTGTTTTTTAGGATCGTGATTTTGAGCATCCACAGAAAATAACAGCTTATTTTTTTAGTTATTTTAGTTGCCTGGCACTATGTTAAGTGTTCTTCCACAGGTAGTATCTCATTTAATTCTCACAGATAGCCCATTTAACAGCAGAGAAAAATCAGTGTTTAACAAGTACCTTGTCTAGGATAACCTGCTAGTCAGTGGAAAGCCAGGATTTAAGCTTCATTCTATCTTATTCATTTATTACTTCCTATTTATTATATCTTATTATTATTTATCACATACTATCTATTACTTATGACCCAAAGAAATGTGCCAGACATATTTCTAATCTCCAAATAAGGTGTTTTTTTTTTCTTTCAAAAGTCAAGTGTAGCTATAAAATTTTGGTCAGTTTGGGGTTTTAATTAGATTTTTGCAGTGGAGATTTTATTGTTTATTTAAAAATGCTTGCAAGTATATTCATGTTTATATTTCCTGCTGTTTTTCTCAAGCTTGAAGGATGTATATGTGTGTTTGTGTGTGTGTGTGCATGTATATATATATAGAGAGAGAGAGAGAGAGAGAGAGAGAGAAAGAGAGAGAGAGCGAGAGAGAGCGAGTGAGCACAGTGTTTCCCAAAGTGGTTCCTCAGCACATCAATGCATACTTAAAAAAAAAAAAAGAGTTGCTTAATCAAGTTTAAGAAATATAATAAAAGTGGTTAAATAAGTTTCTTCCCCATAGAGTTTATTGATTGTAATATGCTACTATTCATTTTGTGTTGCTAAAAGGAAATGGCAGTATTCAGCATTTTGAAGATTTGGTTTGAGATCTAGTGTTTTATGGAACCCATTTTGGGAAATACTTGTCTAAAATGTTTAGAGGCAAGCAGGCTTATTTATTTGTTTAAGGTGGTAACTGTTGTAGCTTGAATTAACAAAAGCAGTCAGGTCTTCCTAATCTCCATTTTAAGGACTTTTAAACTATGTTATGAATTCTTAAACTAAACAAACAAACAAACAAAAAGTAGGACTATTCCACACAGGTAGTGTTCCTGACCGCCTCGTAGTAGTATCACACTGGCACTATTGATTCTAATAGTGCACATGGCCATACCCGGAAGTGGCTACCTTTTTCTAAGCCTAAGACTGAGGATTAGCCCAATTACTAAACAAAACACTCAGCTTTTAAGTATTTGTGTCTTATATTTTATGTGGGGTATTTTTATTGAATTCCTTACTGTTTCATATTATCATAAGAATATTTGATTAATGCCATCACCTCAGAATTATATCCTAAATAAATATGGCTTTTGTGTTACTATTTTTTTAATTAGATACTCCTAAAACAAAGTTTAAAGGATTACTATCTGACAAATAACAAGAAGCAAAATTTTCAGAGTGGAAAGCAAGTCTGAGATCAGAACAAGTAGAGAATGAAGGAAAAGGTGAATGCTATGAAATTGATATTTTTTCCTGGAACTGAATTCTGAAACATAAAACAGATAAAATGCATCTTGATACTACAAATGTTATATATATAAAATCAAGTTGAGTTTTTGCCTTGATTTGCTGAACTCTGCACTTTTTCATTCCCTTCAGAAGTATGTAGATACTTCCAGTGACTACATATGAATGTACTTTCAATATTATTTATTTATTTATTTATTAGAAATTTGCCCCATTTGAAAATAATTTTTGATTCATGGAATGTTGATCGCCTAAAAACAAACATCGTATTTTCTTTGGTTTTGGACTGTGAACTTATTTTTGCAGATGAATATTGCTTGAGATTTATAAGACCTTTAGAATTGTTATTAAATTCCTGTTATTTGCCCAGTTTCTATACACTGAGATGATTTTGAAAACAAATAGAAATTAAGCTACTATATAAAACAATTGTTTACATGTACTTTTAACTTTTAAAAGTACTTAATTAACATGTTGTTTGACTTGTATAAAGTTTTTAAAAATTTTTGTTCATTTGCCAAAGTCAACAGAATGTCTGTTATTCTTTTATGTATACAGTAAGGAAATTTAAAGTGTAGAATTTTTCTCCCCAAAAGTCACGTGTTCATAGTAGAAGTAGTGGTAGTTGTAACGGTAATCATTGTCATTGTCATTATCTTCTTAAATGTGAAGCTGCTCCTAATTGTAGGTGGTACATGTTAATAAAACTAGTAAAAATAATGTCTTACACTCTGTAACTTATTGCATATTGTTAATATATGTCTAGCATCAAATGAGTATTGTAAAAGACTAATATAAAATGGTTTAGAAGACTGATATATATATATTAAGTAGAAGCTAATACTTTGTTTCTTGCAAGAGGACCACATGCAAAAGTGATGCTAAACAGCCAGTAATAATAATTTAAATATAATTTATTATTTCAAAAAAATATGTCTTAAAAGGGAAAATAAAATCTTTCTGTTGAATCACAACAAAATTAGATTTTTACATAGAAAAACAATTTGATAATACTTAATAGAAATTTGTTCAATTAAAAATGCTTAGGTTATACAAGAATACTATACAAAAATAGAACAATTAATGTAAATTAATATATTTATATATTGCATGTGGAAGTTCATTTATCTTCCTTTATAAGACATATTTAATGTAAGTTACATACACTCCAACTATTACTTTGCTTTTACATATGAAAATAGCACTGACTTTGTTTTTATAAGTTATTAAATGTGAAATTAATCTGCATCAGCTTATTTATAAAAGTAATGTTATTTTCAAGAAGATGTTACTATTAGTATTAATTTTGTATGTTAGACTTTTTACATTCTTTATCTGATATTATTTATTACAATAATTTGAGAATGTTATTCATAAGTACAAGGATCCCATATAGTATAATAATTTAATTTCACCTGCTTTGAAAGTTGATTTAATTGATTTATGAAATGAAAATGCCTACCCACTCATATAACATACCACAGGTCTATTTTACCTTACACTGAATGTTCTCAATATGATTTGGTACCTAAAGTAATTGAAAAAGATGCAGTTTCCTTTAATTCTTGACTAAAAGTTATACTATCTTCCATACATGGAAAATCCTGCAAATATAGTGTAAAAATTAAATTGCCCCATTAAAATCCTTTATAATTCTGTCATTCTCCCAAGGAATAATACCATAGTACATATGCAATCTTTATTTTATTCCTTATTGCTTATCAGAGTGAGTGGATGAAAACATTTGTAAGACTGCAACATAATATTAAAATGTAAATAAATAAATATACTGATCAATTAAAATAGAAAAGAAAGTGGTAAATTACAGTGATTCCTTTCATATTATCACTCTTGAACTGTATCATCTATAAAATGAGTGATAAAAATATCTCACTGAATTGTGGCTTATATCAATTTAAAATTTATTAATGATTTGAAAATAATAACTTACTAACTACATGTATGCTGTTATTGTCAGTGTTTCCTTCTACCGGCTGTTCTTTGGAAAAATTAAGTTATACTTAAACTTAACATTAAACTTTTTATAGAAGGCATACATGATAAACAGTTTATGGTACTTTTCAGAATCATTTCATAGTAAGAAATTTATTTAGCTTAAGTTCCAATTTACTGTTCTTATTATAAATTGTAAAGCAACCTGTCTTACATTCTTATATTATCTTAAAATAAATATTCCTGCCCTTGAATCAAGAAACATTGTACTTGGCTTTCATATGTATCTATGGACTAATAATGACTTTCTGAAAATGTTACCTTCAAACTTTGGACATCTTATGGGTTACTAAACCTCTTTTGATCTTACTCCCTCCTCTGAGGCAACACATACCAGTGACATTTATCTCATCAACACCTTTGTGGGTAAGTAAATCACAGAGCTATAAAGCCACTCAAAGTATATCATAGGAATTCCTAAATTATAGAACTGTGGTCGTTGGTACTGGAAACCTTTTCAGAAAGCTTACATGTGACTTAATGGAGTATTAATTTTGTAGGTATCATCTTACTAAGACAACACCTAGAAATGTTTCAAAATATACTAGTTATTATCCTACTTACTATAGCAATTAACTTACAATAGTAAGTTAACACTTCTTATGTTTACTTTTTAAGAAAAGCACATTTTTAAAACTTAGGATCTCAGTCTAGTAGAAGTGGGAATAAATCATGAAGATCATTTATTGGGTGAATATATTCACCAAATCTAGAATTAGACTACTTCTTGAAGTGGGAAGAGATGGCTTGAAGAAAAAATAAAAGTAGAATGGTGATTATAAATTTGCAGAGCTACCACAGAGTTTAGGCTTGTATGGTAGGACTGGAGAAGGAATTAATCGATCAAGGAACATCAGTGGGAATCAGTTACTGGGTTAAAAAAAGGTAAAGATGGAAGCCGTACTCTCTGACACAGTATATTCTGGTCACATTTACCATCAGAGACAATTGAACTTGATTATTAATCTAATTCAGTATGGCATTTCCTATATGCATACGTCTTAGGAATGAAGCAAGTAGCTTAAAGGTAAGCAGATTAGGCCAGGCACAGTAGCTCACGCCTGTAATCCCAACACTGTGAGTGGCCAAGGTGGGCAGATCACAAGGTCAGGAGTTCAAGACCAGCCTGGCTAATATGGTAAAACCCCATCTCTACTAAAAATACAAAAAAATTATCCAGGCATGGTGGCACATACCTATAATCCTAGCTACTCGGGAGGCTGAGGCAGAAGAATTGCTTGAACCTGGGAGGCAGAGGTTGCAGTGAGCCAAGATCATGCCACTGCACTCCAGCGTGGGTGACAGAGTGAGACTCTGTCTCAAAAAAAAAAAAAAAAAAAAAAAAAGGTAAGCAGATTAGTCTGCTAGCACATTTTAAGCTGAGGTAAAATGAGAGTTTAGTACAGATTCAAAGACAGTAAAGATATTTTGAGTCTATGCTATATCATGCTTTTGCAAGCTCTAGGTGCTATAAGAGTTAAACATTTAAGCTGAAAAATCTATAAAAAGGACTCTGAAAATCTATACTTTTTTGTGTCATTGCTCTTTGGTGCTAAGAAGCTCTCAAGAAAGCGAGTATCTAACCATTTGTGCTGTAATATTTAATTACAGTGAGTGTACAGAAGATTAGCTGTCACAAAGATTCTTTTGAAATCAGATTGCACATGAAAACTGCATTGTACCCTGCTAAGTAAGCAAATTTAAGAAAGAGGAGAAGGTGATGTCAAGACTTACTGCAAAATGAACAAATAAAGGAATAGGATTTGCTTGATTTTCAGCCTATTAAAGAAATGCCAAATGTCAGCCTTCATTTGTCAACTTAAATATGTTTTTCTAAAATTTACAAAGATTCAGCCTATTGAAAGTATCCTTTACTATTTGGACTGAGAAGTAAATTAAGCAAATGGAAATGCTAAATAAATTTTGCTAATAATTCAGTTTCTCATAGCGATAAATTGCCACATAAAGATGTATGTTAGTAATTCAGATAGGGATATTTATTGCCTTTTATTTTTGTTATATGACTGATTATCAAATTAACACATGTGCTTTGCTCCCAGATATGTAATGTTTTAAAAGCCTCGGTTAATTTCTGCTCCACGGTAGCTAACCCCAAATACAACGTACACTGAACCATTTCTAGTCTCCAGTGATTTTTATCCCTTCAAAAACGAAAAAAACAAAACCAGAAAGGGATAAAAATAATCTTTTAAAAATCTAAGAGTTGAGCCCCAAGTAGCCAGGAGTGGAAACTATCAGTTTAGAGCCTGAATTGGACTTGCCAGAAATCACCAAGAACCAGATCATGTAAGGTGAGGATCCCCAGCCAGAGCAACAGAGTTCACAGATGGTTGGAACTAGAATGGTTGGGAGCCTGTGGGCTTTATGGAGAGGAGATACTGCCTGAAGCCAGAGTTCTATATTGACAGTATGTGAGCACATTGAGCTTTGAAACAGCAGTGAGGGAGAGGACCTGAATGGGACCCCCTCTTCTGAGTTAAAACTTTTAAGGGAATCCCAAAAGTTCCTGAGATTAGTGTACACATACACACACCAGACTGAAGGAGAAGAAACTATCCCAAAAGAGTCTTAGATGATAATCAAGCATAAACTTTTAAAGAATTCTACCAAATCCAGATAAAGCTAGCCACTATTAAGTGAAAATCAATAGCAAAAATAAATTTCGACTGCAAAGAATGCAGATGTTGGAACTGAATGCAAAATACAGAAGAGCTACATGTGAAATTAACTTTGAAATTTCAAAAATGGGTACACAAAATGAGAAAACTAGGGTTTAAACAGATATACTTATGAGATAGAATTTCTAGAAATAAACAGTTGCTGAAATCAAAACCTCCATTGGAGAGTCATGTCTGTTAGACTTATCCTTCTACCATAAACAATTACGACATTGTACAACAAATAATTCAGGGCTTTGATCCTTGAAAGAAGGGAAAACCATGTGGTGACCTCTGCATTCACTGGCTTTCTTCCTGGGAGGGCTTTCCAAACTGCAGCAAAAGAAAGTGGAGCTCAGACAAAAGAGTTGCATGGGATGGAAGAAATGAGACCAGAGTTAAGAATAGCTCGGGTAGCTGAAATTTGTGGGACATAGTACCAGGGATGGGGAGCTGTGCAGAAAAGAAGCACCAAAAATCTGCATAGGGGTGCTCTTAAGTCTGACTGAATACTAAACTGTACATAAGCAAGGCAAGACGTCATGGGGCACGGCAGAAAACAGTCACTGGAGGTCACATAGTGCTGGAAGCCGTCTGAGTTCAAATCAGCCAGTGTGTGAAGGGCTCACTGAACAACCCAAGAATTAAGTAAAGGTCACAGCTTTACTGTAGCTCTAAAGTAAAGACAACTCTTGACCTATCCTAAATTAAGCCTTGACAGGATCAAGCTATCCTATCAGTACTGCCAGCCACCTGCCAGAACAAAACTCAATACTCTTATAGGAAGACAGAAAACTCCTATTGTCAACAGTGTAGTATCCACAACATCCACTATAAAGTAAGCCAATATTATATAGGCTAAGCAAGAAAACGTGACCCTTAGCCAGGGGAGAAAGTCATTCAAAGAAACAAGCCCAGAGGTGACCCACATATTTGAATTAGCAAATAAAAACTTTAAGAACTATTATAAACATGTTCAAGGGTTTAAGTAAAATTAATAGCTTAATAGGAAAGGAGACCATAATTACAGACAGAAAAAATGAAAATTATAAAAACCAAATGAAAATTTTAGAATTGAAAAATACAATATTTGAAATAAAAATTCATTGTATGAGCCTAATAGGAGATTGGAGACAGAAGAAATGATCAGTAAACTTAAAGGCAGGGAAATGCAAGCTATCCAAACTGATGCACAAAAAGAAAAACCACTGAGAAAAAGAAAAGAATAGTGTCTTAGTGATCTATGGAACCGTATAAAACAGACTACTGTAAGTGTAATTGGAGATCAAGGAGAGGGGAAGAGGGAGGGAGAGTAAAAGAAAAATTGAAAAAGTACTAGCCAAAATTCTTCCCACATTT